TCAATTTTGTCTTGTTTTAATCAATTAATTTTATATCCACTGATCACTATACATGAACTCGCACATATTTTAAGTCAAATTTCAACAAAAACGAAGGTGTACAGGTTTTTGGATGGGGAATGATGAAGGGGTGGAGTGGGGGTGGTAACAACTATCGTTGAGAGTAGATTCCTTCTTTATCCAGTGAAACAACGCTGAGTTATTATTATTATTATGCTTGCAGACTGTGTACAATTAAATACGTGAGAATCGCTGAACTATGTATGTACTATGTGTTAAAATAATATCTGAAATAAATCTTTATTATGATTGATTGTGGTAGATTGGATAATGCGACACAGAAAGCGGGCATTTAAAAGAGAGGCATAAGATGGACCAACACACAAAAAAACCTGGAGGATCTGGACTTCGCCGACGACATATTTGTGTCTGATTTCCCATAAACTGGAAGATATGCAAGTGAAAAGCAACAACTAGGCAGAACAACCATCCAGAGAAGATAGGACTTCCTTCAGGTGAACATAGAGAAAACACAGGCGACGAAGATTCCTGGCCAACACCAACAACAACAGCCACAGCCACAGAAACAACAACAGACAACAATCAGTCAGCATAAATCGGAGGGATCTGAAAGAAACAACCCCCTTTACTTACCCACCTACCTGGGAAGCATCGTTTCAACTACAGGCGGCCGGAACTGACTAGGATATCAAAGAAGTGAGGATGGGAAAGCAAGACAAGCTTTCAATACTCACCATGAAAATGAAAATAAGATCCGGATTTTCAACTCCAATGTGAAGAAGTCAGTCAGTCCTACTCACTATACGGACGGATCAGAGACTTGGCCAGCGCGTCATCAACAGCACCTCAAACAAACTAGACGCCTTCATCAACAGCTAGTCGTCTTCAATCAATACCACTCAAGATCAGATAGCCGACCAGAAAAGATCAGCAGAAGTGAGGGATCTCTGGCAATGAGTGAACCAACCAACACACCAGGAACCGATTTTGCAACAAATAGGCAGGAAGAAATGGAGGTGAATGTGAATTGGTCATACTCTGATAAAACATACAATCAAGTGAGTGACATCACTAGACAAGCCATTGCTCCAGTGGAACCCGAAAGGGAATCGGCGAGTTGGTCGTCAGTGTGATGATGGGGTGACTTGGAGGAGGGGGAGGTGATGCGTACAGGAGATGAAAGCATGTGGTCAGACTTGGAACCAGGTGAGAACTTTAGCAATAGAGACATGCAGCTGAAGCCCTATGTTCCTCTAGGAATTAAAGGAAATAATAATAATAATAGTCATATGATTGATTGGAGGGTGTCATCATGAGCTAATGTCAGTTAGAGAACCACTGGAAAACCTCCAGGGAGTACTGAACAGCTGTCTCCTCCGTCCTAGTTTGGGACTCTTCATCCCTCTATGCTAAAGTATGGTAATCCCCGTTCGTATTTTAGCTCTACCAATTTTTCATTTTTTCATTTTGTCTATTCAATTTGTAGTCTCTTCCTTATTACGTCAATTGTTACTACTATTATTATTCTCACTTTGAACTGTCCCCGGTATTATTTCACTTGTTCCACTTGTCATTCTAAATCAATTCTTTTTTTACAACGTTAAATTCTATGCTATTAGATTTCACACAATATCACGTAACGTTTTTATTTTATTCGATTTGTCTACTAATCCTAGAACTGCATACCCTTTTTCAAGTTCTATCCATCCTATGAATTATTCTATATATGACATTAATTTGTTTTGCCACTTGACATTTAACTACGATTATAATCACAAACATTTTAGTTTTAATTGAACTTCATATGATTATTATTATTATTTTATGCATTCACACCTGTGATTCAATTCCCTCACAGGATATAACTTCTTAAAAAACCATATACACATACGATTGTACAGCTTGATGGTAAATTCGTTGTTGAAAAGAGTCTCTTCGCTGAATCACCACTTGTTTTGAACCATTGAAAACCAGCTGGGGGGGGGGTACTGGACAGCTGTTTCCTCCGTCCTACTTTGAGAATCATCGTCAGTACGCACCCACACACACACACACCAGAGTTCGAACCCACGACCTTCCGGTTGGTTACAAGGCAAGCTAGCTCGTATACCATTCAGCCACTGGGACCCGACCCCATTCAATGGGCCAGCCAGCCCATGAATTCTAACTTCTACCAATTAGTGATGCATTTAGCGCAGCTGGCAACATCCAATGTCGTCGGTAAGATATCCATCCTTACATGTGACACATCTGGATGCACCTCACTGGTCAAGACTTCTCACCAAAACTTCTCCAGGCAACTCCATCCTGTAGCCAGTAGTGACTAGCGAGGATCAGATTAATTTTCTATAGTTGGTTTGTAAGGATTAGTTTTGTTTTTATTACTACTATTATTATTATTATTCTCTTAGATTCCGAGTGGAACTTGGGGTTCCAGCAACAACATATTATTATTATTATTATTTCATTCTATCCATTTTTACCTAGATAAGTGAAAGAGGTGAAGTCTTTCGGATTATTTTCGTTGATGATAGTTGCTGTCTATGTATGTTGTTGTTGATTACGCATCTTCGCCACCTACCTCTGTCTTCTCCATGTTCAGTTAAAGCTTTCCTCGGTGGGTCGCCTCTTTTCCCAACTTTCTGGTATTCCCCCGTAAGTATTCCAGTCTGCGTGATATTAGACATACTTTCATCGCACACCAGTCAGTCACTATTGTGATGTCTCTGGCTAGTCCTTTGTTTAGTGCGGACTGAATTCTAATCAGTCACGTTTGCAATGTGGCCACCACATTCTGGATGGCTCACTCTATCACAGTGCACATTGATTTGATGATATTAGGCGGTTGGAAGCAATCGGTAGGAAGCCTTGGATCTAGGTGGCACTCACTAGTAAGCATGGCGTATCTGCAATCACCTTGAAGGAACTCATGTCCCATCCCTGTGAGATTCGAATCCGTGTTACCCAGTGTCCAATGAAAGTATCCAATGCAGTCACAGTCCTACAGGAGGTCAATCACGAGCCCGAATAGCTAACTCCATTGGTAACATCTCTGAATGCAGCCAGAACTGGATGATGCAGGTTCGAATCTTACAGGGGTGGGACATGATTTCATTCACGGTGATTGCAGATACGCCATGCTGACACTGGTGTATGCCAACTAGCACGAAACCTACGGTCAAACAAGGCTTCCTGCAGCTGATTGCCTCCGACCATCTAACATCAATGAGATTAGACATAAACTATTTGCAAAGTCGTAATCTTCTAGAGTCTTATTGTCGGTCTTCTCGCTTACAGCCTGCTGCATAGTCCAGTCTACCACAAAGAGAAACATCATCGTTGATGATAAACAGCCTTGTCTTAACCTTCTGTCTTCATTTCAACCAGTAAGTAAACGCCATTTAGAAACTGATAAAAAAGGGTAACATACTATCTATACATATTGATTGACTGATTGCGTAACACATTCTGCAGTGATTGAGTCAGTAAAAAAAAGATATCTACTAAAAATAATCTAAATAAATAAACTGGAAATACTAATTAATATTGATATATGTGTAAAACCTGGGCACTGTATTAGTAAGTAATTTTATTATCAGTTTGTTTATTAGATGTATCACACAGTGAGTGAAACAGTATTACTCTTTACTGGATGACACAGTTTCGAACACAATCTATTATTGTTCATAATCATATCATCAATTATAATCACCCGACTTCGAAACTAGAGTTTCACAGTTTTCTTTGTCTTCTATTTGTCGTCGTAGTAGAATTTTCTAGATGTCCGGGTGGATAGGTGTTGAATCATTCCTATTACATGTATTTGCAGATGATTCGATAAACAAGGCATCCGTCGTTATCAATCTCTCCCTCCACCCTGTGACATTAGATTTTAAAACTGTCATCCTATCCCATCATCCTATTGTATGGTTGTGTGTAATTGCATGTAATGAGTGGTATATACGGCTGAACTATTCTCTAGATTTCTTATCTAGATTTTCCTAGGACTTTATGCTCAGCTTGTCTGACTGACTACCCCTGTTCTACTAGTTTGACCTATTGTATTTGACCTCACTGACAAGCATTGCTGGCAGGGTATTAGATCAACTATATTGTTTTGTTGTAAAGGCTCCACAGGATTGATCCTTCAACCGACAAAGCTTGTTTCTAATTGAGTTTGTGGGTGGTTTGAATACCAGCCGCTTTTATTCTTGCCTTGTTAAGAATTCTCCAGCCTAAGGCTTCCGAGGTTCCTTCCTTGTATGGAATTACTACTGATGATTTACATTCCTCCTTATTGTTGGTGTTGTCTTGCACATATTTGCCATGCATGTCGTCATTAATATTATTATTATCGTTATCACTTGTATCATTATTTAGTTTATCTAATACCCTACCAGCAATGATTAGCAGGTCAAATACATGGGTCAAACTAGTAGAACAGGGGCAGTCAGTCAGACTAGCTGAGCATAAAAACCTAGCAGCAAAATCTAGATGGGTTGACCCAAATAAGATAAGAAATCTAGAGAATAGTTCAGCCGTAGATAGCACTCACTACACGCAGTTACACACAACCATACAATAGGATGATGGGATAGGATGACAGTTTTAAAATCTAATGTCACAGGGTGGAGGGAGAGATTGATAACGACGGATGCCTTGTTTATCGAATCATCTGCAAATACATGTAATAGGAATGATTCAACACCTATCCACCCGGACATCTAGAAAATTCTACTACGACGACAAATAGAAGACAAAGAAAACTGTGAAACTCTAGTTTCGAAGTCGGGTGATTATAATTGATGATATGATTATGAACAATAATAGATTGTTTTCGAAACTGTGTCATCCAGTAAAGAGTAATACTGTTTCACTCACTGTGTGATACATCTAATAAACAAACTAATATAAAATTATTAATATGAATTTATTATTATGAACAGAAAAGACGACGAATATGAAGAAGACAAACTCACGTTCATGTCGTTCAAAACCATCCCAAAATGATTTTAAACAATAACGTGTTATTTCAGCACCAGTAGCACAATCAACTAGAGTAGTTTTTAATTCACCGAAATCATCAGAAAAACTTTGTGGTGTCCATAACTCTTGATTAAATTTACGTTGACAACCAGAGATAACAAGTGGATGATTATGTCGCCATTCAGACTATCAAAACAAAAAGAAAGAAAAAACAGAAAATGAAGGATGAAAGCAAGGAAGTCAAAAACATAAGAAAAAAAAATATATATATATATATAAAGACATCTTTTCCTAACAAATACATTAGTTAGAGAACCACTGGAAAACCTTCAGGGAGTACTGGACATCTGTTACGTCATAGTTCGGGACTCTTAATCAGTACACATCCACCACAGGGGGCTCGAACCCAGGACCTTCTGGTTACAAGGCTAGCGAGCTCGTCGATCATTGAGCCACTGGGAGCCTGTCCAATGGCCAGTCCATGAATTCCAACTTCTGCCAATTCACGACATAGCGCGACCATTTCGCAATGTTTTCTTCGATGAGTTACTGCCTCAGATTCGACCCAGTGGGTGCGTACTGCTGTAGAGTCACAAATGAGGATGAAACAGCCATCCAGTACTCCCAGGTGGTTTCCCAGTGGTTCTTTAACTGATGTCAGCTCATGATGAAATTCTCCATACAATCAAACAAAATCCTTACAAAATCAATGCTTGAAAATATTTTTTTTTTAATTTTTTAAATTTTTGATTACAGCTTGATTCCACACTGTATTTTTGGTACAAGTATGGAATTTTCAGCATGGATATCGGTAGCCCAAATTTCGCAGGCCGACCATAGATATCAGATGTGCGCCGATGTGAGCTCGAACCCCGGACCATGTGCATGGTCGGCGAGAGTCCTAACCACTGTGCCACCGACGCACAAATATTTATGTATACGAAAGATACTCTAGTGAAGGGAATTAACACGAAAAGTGCAATCAGTTCAGGTGTTTATGTTGACAAACTGTCTCTAAGTAAAATTAAGCATTTTGTACACCTGTAACGACAGAAGGCAAGAGACAGGCAATAGATCATTTATTGAGAAAATCAACAGATATTTATAGATTTTTAAGGAACATTATTATCAGTGGAGAAGTAACGTCTTCTTCAGAAACTGTATTGAGGTGCATGTCTTAATTGAGATGATGATAGTCCATTAGTTAACATCAATCAATCAAATGTGTATAGGGTGTATAGTCAGTCAGGAAAAATGTGATGAAGTGTGAATGAACAATTGGGTGATATAGTGTTATTTTATAGTCAACAGAATACAAGTGTCGTCATTGGGGTGACAGAAATGCGATAACCACAAAATACATACAACAAATACACACATTAATAAAGGGGACACTGAATGTGAGGCCTGACCAATAATGTCCAGTGATAAAATAAAGACGCTAAATCGTAAGTTGTAGGCTTAGCATAAAATCATAAAAGTTGACAAAAATTAAGGGTAACAATGACGTGAAATAAACTGGGGTGGAGAAATGGATAATTAAGACATGATATCACAAAATGATAATAATAGTACGAATAATTATGATCCTGGTGACCTTATAGTGGGGCAGGGTAGACAAAGAGAGTGAATAGGTTTTTTCTCTACACGTAGGTCTGGTGTCTCTCTACTAATCTCTGAAGCCTCAGTTATATGGATAGGAGGCGTAATCGTATGCCTTTGGGGAGATTGTTCAGTACTCGATACACAATTGTCAATGACTCATCTACTTGGATGCAGTGTTTGCTCTCCATTAGATGAGATAGAACTGCACTATTTAATGATTTGGTTGCTCTTTTTCCAAGCCAAACAGGAATATGTTCAAGAGTGCGTAAATATGAATTCCTCACCCCCAATGACACTTGTATTCTGTTGACTATAAAATAACACTATATCACCCAATTGTTCATTCACACTTCATCACATTTTTCCTGACTGACTATACACCCTATACACATTTGATTGATTGATGTTAACTAATGGACTATCATAATCTCAATTTAGACATGCACCCCAATACAGTTTCTGATATTATTTTCATTTGCCTTTATTGGTTATATGTACTGAAGCTGAGAAGGCAGCAAGCAAAAGGGATCTGAGGACATTATATCAGATAACAAAGTCTCTATCCGGGAAGAGATCAACACAAGTGAAACCTATAAAAGACAGCCAAGGGAATCTAATTACCAAGAAAGATAGACAGATTAAACAATGGGTGGATCACTTCAAAGAACTCTTGAACCGACCACCACCTGCAATCCGTCCACAAAAATACCAACAACAGCACGTACAGAACTGCAATTTGACACCAATCCTCTATTATTCATGGATTTATAACTGTAGAACCTGAAAAAAGAGTTATCGAAACCATAATTCAAGTGTTTGTTTGTAGAGATTTGATTGGTTTGCAGGATTTCATCATGAGCCGACATTAGTCAGAGAACCAATAGAAAACCTGGGAGTACTGGGCAGGTCCCAGGTTCAAATCCCGGTGGGTGCGTACTGTGCTGAAAAGTCCCAAACTAGACTGATGAAACAGCTGTCCAGTACTTCTGGAAGATTTTCCAATGGTTCTCTGACTAATGTCAGCTCATGATGAAATCCTAGAAACCACAATTGTTCGCTCAAAATCTTTCATTTGATTTCAATAATAACTCATGTCAATTTTTACGGCTATTTAGTGTAAACAGCTGAAGAAAAGCCGTGAAATATGAATTCATCTATGCATATATATATATATATATATATATATATATATATATATATATGCTTACTCAAGTTATGTTGAAAATGAAATCCCTCTTTTAATCTCCTGTCTCCCTGTCCCCCACTCAAGGCTAACTTGATGATGATAGATTCGAGAAGTAAAAACCCTGTGGATACATATATTTTTTTTTCTAATGTCTGATTTCGGAATTAAGGATTACATGTGTACTGTAAATCGGTAGGTGTGTGTGTGTGTGCGTATGTGAATAGTCGTCAGTGTTATTTGTTAGTTGGTTGGATTAGTCTGTTTGTATGCATGTAATTTTTGCCAGGGCAGAGCTGAACGGAGCAGAGCAGGGCAGGGAGAACCAAATATCAGGAATGATAAATTGTATCACATAGAGGACAAGTAATTTCTCAAACACATATTTTCGCCTAGTTGTTTATGCATGACTAGAGGAATAAGAAATGAAACAAAACAAAACAGAACACAACCAAAACAACAACTGTTCTCTGATGAAAATGTGAACAAGGCAAAACTTGTACAAAAACCAGAAAACAAAAAAGAGAAAACCTTATCGATTTTAATCAATAAATATGTTATTTTGCTATTTTTTTAAAAGGTTTAAAAAAATTTTCGCTTTAAATTATTCATATATGTGTGTGTGTGTGTGAATGAGTTGAAAAAGGCTTTTGAGTAAATCTATTTTAAAATATTTCGCCTAATTTTCTTACAACCAGTGACTTGAACATTTTAACCATCATCTGTCCGTTTATCCTGTTTGTTTTCGACATAGAACTTTCCACCGATGTGTAGCAGTTCAAGTCGACACACTCCCTCCTCCTTGTAGCATACAAATCAAGACAAGAAAGTAGAAGAAATGCATAATAGAGACAGTATAAACAGAGGTGTGAGACAAAGGAATAGTAATAGTAACGAAGATCAATATAGTTTCATTGGAAATCATAAGTAACAAGGAGTGGATGCATCTGCGCTAGCCATTGACAACGAGGATTTTGAGCTGAATCACCAAATTGCCCCCGGCCTGCCTGTTTACCGTCTCGAGGACCCCAAACAGGAAGTCTGCACCTTACTATATGGATGGCTTAAATTAACTGTTGTGGATTTCACTGCTGATGAAGCCATGTTTCGGTCTGACCGCCACTAGCTAGCTCTTTTCCAGCCTGACCCTATGTCAGTCAGCTAACATTGCCCGTCAGTGGAGAAAGGTGATGACTAGGCATGCATACGTAACACATGTCCTAACCACCTCACTCGATGTAACTGCTTCACAGCCTCGTCGATTGATTGATTTCCCCTCCCACCTACCTACCTATCACTCGACCCACGCCTAACCCCAATATTCCTCACCTTATTACACCTAACACTTCACACGAGAGATAGAACACAAGCACCTATGATCAAAGACAGCTAGCCAGCCAGCCACCCTTTTCATGTCTTCCACTCTCAATGGCCAGGTCTCGCTCACAGCCAACCATATAGGAGGACGGAGCGGACTGATGAGCAGTACACCCACCCTTTGGTCGATGGCCAACGGGATTTCACGTCTACCAAGCCAGAGGCGGCGTAAGCTGGCATATCCGAAACAAGCCCTCTGTATGTATCCGTACCTAGTTGAGATTTCGTCAGAGATCAACCCGTTGGGACTGGCTGATGATACTTCCCAAATAAGTGAAGTGGCCAATGTGCTCTACCACTCCACCCCTTATTTCTAAACTAGGAGTCAGTGTAGTCCAGTCAGTCCTGTAGCCTCATCATCTTACATTTGACAGCAGGAGCGAATCGCATGCCAAACATTAGAAGATTGCTTTGTAATCAAGGTGTGTTTAAAAGACTCAGCTTTATTTTGTCAGCGTCTTCACCGAGAAGCATATTCACAAAGTAAACAAAATTATTCCCTGGCATCAGCTACTCTCCTTTATGAAGAAGGATATGACTGAATGAATAGGCAACGGTTATATTTCACTACGTAAACTTGCTAACATGAAACAAATCCTCTCTATTCATAGAAAATAAGTATGAGTTTTTTTTCTCTTTTAAAACCGTATTGATTAATCGATCAATCAATGAACCAATCACATCGTGTTGTACATATATACATATGTATATATAAATCATAACAGTGACACCCATTATCAGCTGACTTCATATGATTATTGATTTTTCAAGGACAATTTAGTATTTGTTTTGTTTTTTCATTTGAATTAATTTGTTTATCTCTGTTTTACAAAATCATCTGTCTTTTGTCTATCACCATGGTCACGCATGTACGCCATACATTCACACACACATACAAACTCGCACAACATGTGGGTGGTTGAACGCATGCATGCATGCATGAATCGAAAGACGAATGGATGGATGGAGAAAAATCACAAATTCTAATCGATAAATATATAAATTGTATCACATACCGGTT